TTTTTCAAATCTTATTTAACAAATTAATGACTGCAAGTAACAGTTTTCTAATGGAGAAAAAAAAAAAAACACTATTTGTATATACTTCCACATTCCAAATTCACAGAATAAATTCCAATGCAAAAATCAGTTCAATTAAGTTATCTGCTTAATGTTAAGATAAACAACATAGTATAAACACGAAAACTGAAGTGCAGTCTTTTGAACTCTTGTCAGATGTTTCAGCTAATAAGGACCACTAATAAATTATCTTGGAACTATGAGCGCTAATCTGTGAAGACTGAGGACAGAACATCCTGGGGCTGCATGTCCATATTGAGTTGGAACAATACACCCAAGCTGGTCTCCCACACTCCAAAAGAAGTCACCAAGATCTCTTGGCATTCCACAAGCTTTCCTGCTCTAGAACCTTTATTTTGCACATGAATAAACAATCCTCATCCTTGAAAGCACTGGTAGTGTCTATGAGTTGAAATACTTAAAATAGGCAGTTAATCTGAAATCCATCCAGCTTGCTAACGTCTGAGTATAAGACAGACCAGTCTGGACAGTGTTACTTGTTTTGTCTTAACAATAGGAAAGCTTTAGTCAAAAATAAACTAGAAGAACACCCACTAGGAGTTTCCTTGATCTCAGCAATAGCTGAAGGCAACACATGACACCAGGCAATGTAGTTTTTACAGGCATCTTGGGATGAATGCACCAGCCACCTAATAAAAGTAGTTTCTGGCCACTCAGCTAGCAAAAACAATAGTAGGACAATAATTTGATTTAATGGACACTTTTTCAACAGTTCCTTGGTTATCACAGATATAGCTTACTGTGTCATGCAACTTTAGTATGTAACAGAGAAGTCACATCAATTCTGAAGTATTAAATCACAGGAATTACAGGGATCAAAAAACACTCGTCCAGCAGATGCAATGTTGTATAATGTGCTAGGAATACTGTTAGTATTTCTAGTCTTCTCTAAATCACAATATTGTCGAAGAACACAAGCCAACCTAGTACAACATTTTTTTAAATAGTGATCTAGCAGCAAATAAATCAAATTATGAAATTAAATATTTAGAATCAGTATCTTTTTCCTTTACTCTTTACTTCAGATCCATTCTGTCCCACAATAATATGGTAACATAGTTTCTACATTCAAGTAGTAACTAACCAGTAACAAGAATATGATAAACAACTGTAATACATGTATTGAAATACAAACTGTAAGGAGATATCACACTTGATATGTATAACTGTTCTACAATTTCCATTTTGTGATCTTAACCCATTATTTATAAAAAAAATTTTTTAGAAGCTTTGTGATTTCTTTTTAGCCAAACAATGCCTTTGTTGATTGGCATAAATTTTGGTTTGATGTGTTTCGTTGCAGCAGCAACATTAACATGCCACAATTGTTACTGTGACATGTTAATACACCTTGTTATTGAACAGCCCTGGTGTGTCAGCATAGCACTGTAGGCTCCAAGTTGTACACAATCTGTCAGTGTTATTTTGGACCACTATTCTAAGAATTTTACACCAAATTTTTCTCAGCGTCACACATCCAAAAGATTTCTGAGGCTGTATATTTCACTATGGAAAAATCAGTAAGTTTTATCTATCGTTTGCTCCAAAGACCCAAACATGCCCTAATGCCCCAGTCTGGCAAATGAACATGCTGTGCATTCACAGTACTTTTGGGGTTTTAGAAAGCTTTGCAATCCAGAAAAGACTACAGAAATCAACCTATCCATAGCCCTAGTTGCTGAAGTATGTCTCATCAGAGAGGCACTGGACTAGTTCTTGCTAACTTTATTCCCTCTCGTTTTCTTTACCCATACATTTAAAAAAAAAAGGGGCAAAAAAACCTTATCAATCAAGTAACAACCAACCAAACTGCCTGACACGTGAGGTCTCCACCCCAAGAACAACCACACAGGCTGCACTCATGATTCCATGGTAGCAACAATACATGACTAAATGGAATAAGGGATAGAACAAGCAAGATAAACCAGTCAGCTCTGACTGAGGTGGCATGCAGCCACTGGTGGCCACAACAGGGCAGTGCAATCCAGCCTAAGGACTAAGGGGCAGACAAGGCTCATTGGTGCACACTCTGCAACACAGCACATCTCACCACTTCCCTGATGCCCAGGCAGAAGTGCTAGGGAGAATTAACCAGAACTCCTGAGCTAACACCTCAAACACTTTCATCTTCCTCTACATCTGGACAGCACAAAAACTTCCATAATGAAGCTTCTGCATTCTTCAGAAAGCAGTTCCCTCTTCCTCACTGCAAAACTACCAAAAAATAACCAGCAGCTTCCTTTCCACTGCCCTAACACAAATAAAAGCTGTAACTAACCAGTATCACATTCAGTGCTAGGCCCTTATTACTCTTTCCACAGGTCCTCTCAGTGTTTTCACCAACAACTGAAAACAATGCATAACCCTGCATTAGTGTTACAAACCAACACGTTGATTCAAAGTGACTGTCCTGTTGGCTGGTAGAAAGTGTAACTCATAAATTAAAAGTTTACCCAAGTACACTTTGTGACTGCAGAAAAAAAAACAACCCATAAAAACAGAAAATCACTTTCCAGTCTTTATAACTTTGCCAGGCTTTACCCTTTTTCAGTTAATAACCCCTACTGTGTGTGTTTAGCCCAGAACCTAGTATCACTTTTAACTCAACCTGAAAACTGGGAAAGTTATTTTCCCAAACTAGAGAACCACTTCTATCTCTTCCACTAGTAGCAATTTAGTCTCTCACTAGGAGATGGTTTTTCTATTCCAAAGAAAAACAAAAAAAAGTCAATAAATTTCAAAATCACTTACAAAACAGAAATTTCTAAGTCCTTTCTTTGTGTGCCTTGCATTCTTTTCATGTTGACCAGCTTGTAGAGCTACAGGTACACAAATTTACAGCTAATTCACCATGCACCCTGGGGAAAAGACAAAGTAGTATGTCCTAAGGAGTAGTTGTCCTATTTAGCTCCAGAAATGCAGGGTCACGCACTGTGATGGAGACTTGGTTTACCAAATGAACATGGTCTGTGGAGAACAGCATTTTTACAGAAGTGGCCCAAGACTGGTTCTTTTAACTCATTTCTTACATAGGCTGGGGTCCAAAGATTTTGAGGTTCTGTCTAATACAATGTTCCTGAGCATATTTCCAGCATTTGATTATGCCCTCCCAACTGCTCTGGTATGCACTGTTCCTTCCCTTGTTTTCAGTAATTCTTGAAATCCTGAAAAACCAAACCAGTTTGTATACTAACAAAAGCAGTGTTTCCTAATGGAACATAATTTGGATGACTACTTACCAAGCTAATGCCTGCAGTAATGAAGCATTACAATTTTAACTTCACAAACCAATTTGACAACTTCAGGGCTCAGAAACCCTATAAAAATTCTATGCCTTAAAAAAAATCTCAGTTCAGGTGACCTTCAGTCAATATGCAATTGTAGTAGTGCACCAACAACACAAGTATCTGTAAACAAGAATACCGGCTGGGGTGCAACAGAGGAGAGCCAATTCTGCATTTTTGGGGGAAGAAAAATCTGCAACGTTTTTCTGGAGGTCAGTGTTTGTTAAAATAGTTTTACACTAAGATGTTAGGTAAAGTGAAATTAAGTATGAACTGTAATAAGACAAATACTAAATGGAAGCTTGAAAAAAGGTCAAGGAAAAGCACAGGAGAATTAAGTGTCTTACAAACAGCTACCTAAAGAAATATTAATTCAGTTAATCAGAGCCACATGAAAACATCACAGCTGCTGACAGCCAAAACATTCTTGGATTTCAATGGGAAAATCTGGTGCTTCAGGAATGGAGAATCATTAGAACCATAACAGGAAGACAGGATAAAAAAAAACATACAAAGATCACAGCACCCTATTAAATTTTACATGTTATTACAGTTTTCCATAATTATCATTTACATGTATGTTCCCATGTTAAGTAGTTAATTGGAGGTAAATCAAGTAACCAAATTAAAGTTATATGCAGCAAACAGCTAGGAAACGGGACAAAATTAACAACTTAGATTTTTAAGTGAATATGAACATCAGTAAAAGAAGAAAAAAAAACAAACAACAAAACCTGAAGCTAAAGAGTGCTGACTGTAACTCTCTTATCCCATGGTGTTTTGTCATTATATTCACATATCAGCTACTGCTCCAAATTTTAGAGAGATTTGAAAAGAAATAAATGTTCTCTCCACACTTACAGCTATTATATGGCACTGTGAATTATAATACAACAGAAAAAAGGACAGTAACTGTCATTTTTGGTAGTCATACAAAAACTTAAAGATGGAGCTAGGAATTCTATTTATACACTCTATCCAAATCATTTTCTCTAAACAAAGAAAAAAAAAATCTTAGAAAAGCACACAAGAACAATAATTAACAAGTTATTACAACACATTATGGAACACATCATAGAACAAAGGATCACATTTATCCCGTGATTAGCACATAAAACAATCCCTGCAATTTGGACACATCATTCCCCAAAAATCTTTAAACATCTAGGTATGCAAATAAATTCTTTTTTTTTTTGTGTAAGGTTGACAAGGTCAAATCCATTACACTGTAAAGAAATGATGCTGATTTCACTGCAGCAACCACAGTAGGTCAGGAGACACAAGTAGCCTGCAGCTACAGTGGGAATGAGACAGAACTGCAAACCACTTACCACTATTAAGAGTTCATTTCAGCAAATTCTCTTTCCAAATACATTGACTGAATAAATAACAGAAGAATTTAACAGGATTACCATTTACATAAAAAGAAGGGCTATCCTTTATTTTTTCTTTTTTTTTAAGAGTACCACCAAGTACACCTGACAACAATTAGCTTGTCTTAAGATACTAAATGAGCTTTTATATTGTAACTGAGTTGCTCAAGATAAAAAACATCACCCTGTTTCAATGGAAGAGTTTTAGCAAGTTTGAAGAAGGCACCAATAAATATACAAAATTAACATAAGTCAGTCATACCTTTCGCCACAGCTTCTTTATACTTTTCTTTGGCAGAATTTACTTCTTTTATTAGTTGTCTATAGCTAGATTTTAGTTTCTCTAGTTCTGTCTTTGTGACCTTTAAGAAAACGGAAATATAAGAAGTATTAAAAATACTTAATCACACCATATAAAAAAACCTCATAGCATTAGTTTAAGAGAATTAAGAAGATTTATTTTCCAAAATAAGGAAGTTAACACTTCCCAATGGCTTGAGATAATATTAATAGGATATTACACGGTGTAACAAAATCAAATTCAACAAATGCATGGAATGAAGTAAGAGGCCTGGAAACATAGATCTCCATCCACATCAGTGTAATGAAAAATATGTTTAAGAAATCCAGCTAATCTTAAACACTTCCATCGCAATGACAAGATTAAAAAAAAAACAAACACCAAAAAGATGCTTAATAAATCATACTAGATAAAAAATTTCTATGCATGGGAAGGAAAACCTTTAGCATCTTTTAAAAAAGTCAGAGTTTTTAGGTATTACGCTTCCTAAAAATGGCTTAGAAACTGCAACTGCAACCAATCTAGCTGTTTTAACACTTAAACCCTAAATAGAAAAAAAAAAGGGGGGGGAGGGGAAACAAACAAACAAAAACCCCAAAACAAATTCTTGTGAACCACTGCACAGAAGAACCTTCTTGCAGTGGAAGCAACACCACTGAACATGACATTTTTGATCAAAAAAATAAAATAAAGTTGTCTCTTCTATCCCCTACTTACATTCACTGTTCACAAATAATCACAAATCATGAACTTGCAAACAAAAGCTAGTAACAAACTGGCCACTACAATACCAAAAGGGTGGCATATATAGTAATGAAAAGTAAAAACTCTGACAAAAATACACTCAAGATGGGAAAAGAGGAACTTGGTGTAATGGAAGTACTTTCCACAATGAATGTGCAGAAAAGGAAGTCCGTTCTACAGAAAAACTGTTCTCTCACAGCTGGCGCAAAGAAAGCTGGAGTTCACAATTCTCCATTTTTTCATGAGGCAATGCCCAGATACCACTGCTTTTACCCTTAACGAAATTCTGCAAAGACCCTGTAAGCTGCTATCTACAGCTTCTATTTCTGTATCAACTGTGCAAAGACTTAACTTAAAGGCATAACTTCTCTACGCACAGATATCATATTCTCATCTGATAGTTCTGCACACTGTAAGTTATAATCACCATTGTTGCTATTACAGACAAGAAAAAAATTATGACAAACAAAAATTATTATAAAAACTCTATGAGAAACTGAGAAAAAGATGAAGTTAGGAAGTAATGGACACAAGACATAAATAACAAGCAACTGTTTCTCTTAGGAAAAACTGGAAAATAAAAGGCAGCCTTTGTAGCAATTACAAAACGTATTTTACTGATTCTCAGACTGTGTTCTTCCAACAGACAAATCCAAAACCAAGAGCACCTCCATCCCCAAATGACACTTAACTAAGTCAAGAATTATCTTAAGTCAAGGTTGTACATGCATTGTATGCACAGCTGCATATAAAATAAGGAAAATGTTCTTTACTGCGAGGGTGGTGAGACACTGGAACAGGTTGCCCAAGGCAGCTGTGAATGCTATATCCCTGGCAGTGTTCAAGGCCAGACTGCATGGAATCTTGGGTGACACGGTTTAGTGTGTGGTGTCTCTGCCCATGGCAGGGGGGTTGGAACTAGATGACCTTAAGGCCCTTTCCAACCCTAACTATTCTACAATTCTCTGATCTTAAACCCAGTTTTTATAGAAAAGCCCACCTAACTAGCACAGTCTTTTACTTTTTTTCCTCAAATTTCATGGGGGAAAAAAACAAAACAATATCTGAACAGGAATTGGAATAAATCTACAAGATATGAGTTCTGCATTTGTGTAAAAGCCGTGGTGGTCCACTGTCATTAAGAATTTTACCTAAAGATTCCTCAGTGAAGAGGTGTCTAAAAAAAGCAAAGGATGATACATATGCATTTCACCTAAAGTAAAACACTTTTTTTTTTGCCACTGTATCCTATAAATATAAGCTGCACAGACACTGACCTTCACAAGGTTTGGATAATGTCCTGGGAAGTAACAACTATATTGCTTCTGTGGGTAACAAAAGCAGAAGTAATACAGAGACTATGAGAAGTATTCTGAATTCCTGGGAACCATTCTTTAAGTGTTCCAGTTTGAACAAACAATGTCAGCTAACAATGCAAGAGCATATCATATCTAACCAGAATGCTATTCAAATGCTTCTTAGGAAAATCAGGAAGGGGAAAAAAACACCCAAACAACAATGCAAGCTTATTCATCAGGATGCAAAAAATATTTGCATGGCCATGCAGCCCATAATTAAAATCAATATGGTTTTTGAGTGCTCAATATATACTATATTTTTTTGAAAAGTCTTATTTTAAAAGACAGCTTTAGTAGAGTTTTTATGAGAAATTAACAGAAAAAAAAACATGTTTTGTGCAGTTTCTTTTAAGAGTATATCTGTACTTCCAACAGCCTTGTTTCATCTAGCTTCTCTTACATTTCTTTCTTTCTGATTCCATTTCCTAATTCTTTATGTATTTAATCTCTATTATTTCTAACATATACAATTTTATCTCTTCTTCCACCCTGAGTGTTTTCAGACATGCCAATCCGTAAGTGGCTGTGAGCGATTATTTGGCTTGGGAATTTTATCAGATAAGATAGTCAACTGACCATGCAAAAAAAGGATGTATTCCCCACTGTCAATACCTGGTAAAGATGCCAAGATCCTAGCATATCATGGGAGCAGTCCCATTAGAGCCAACACATTTAACCTGTTTGCTCCTAAAGTTCTTCTCATAACTGGATGAAGAATTTTTTACTCATCAGTCCATGACATTTGTACTGTACTACTCAGATGTTATAATTATACTACTCTAACTTTCAAACTCTCTGCTGGAACAAAGAAGAAACAGTGCTTCTCCTTCTCTCTGCAGACCTTCCAAATTATAGATCTGAAATTTTTGACATTTTCAGTTAAACTTACCCCAGAGCACCTGAATGAAACCGTGATTTCTGTCAGCTTTACTGACTATATACACTGCTTTCAACATAAGCAGGACAACTGAGATGTAATAGAAAAGGCCCTGAAGACCTCCATCTGCAGCCATAATGTTTGGTTTACACTTGATTTATATTTTAGAATAGAGACTAGAATCCTGTCCCACCCAAAATAGTCTGGACTATCAAGCGCATTCATTCACAAATGTTTTCAGTGCCCTGGTCCTATGGATGTCTGGAGTGGAATGAGAACAGGAAGAGAGATGGAACAGAGAAGCATCCAACAGAATCATCCTTTAATGGAACAAGAGCATTTCCAGTGCTATTTGTTCATATAAATTCATATAAAAGAAATTTGTTCATCTCTGCCTTGTCAGCTAAAAAGGGAGAGAAAATGTAGAGGAAACTGCTAAAATTTAAACTAGATTCTACATATCACAAATCACAACTTTTTTCATCGGACAACCATAACCACAAAAATAATGCACTCTCAATATACAACTTTTAAACATACGAAACTATAATAAATTTATAAAGTACAATTAAATAACATACCTTGTACATCTCTGCTTCAATTTGTTGATGAACACCTACGAAACTCTTCTTAACCTGCTGCTTATCTTTGATCATCATTGTAAGCCTATGCAAAGGCCCGGAATTAAGGTCTTCTGCATGCGTCTTCATTATTTTGCTCAGCTGTTCTGTTTGCTGTACCACAAGCAACCAAGACTATAAAAAAAAGTACAAACAGAAAACACTCACTTATTCTGGCTTACAAATAACCAAACAATGAACATGAACTACATCATTTAAAATTCAGTATAATCCATGAAGAAAAAAACACGAATTTTAAACTTACCCAAATTCACTTCCAAAATAAAAGTTCTTCCTACTACAGGAAAATCATGCCTTGAACTTACTCATAAAACCATAAAAAAAGCACCAGAGACAAAAATACAGTACTGTAGGTTCACCCTTCAGCATTGACTTAGTACTTCTAAACACTGATGAAAGCTTTACAGCCTTTTTCTGGAATACATCCCCAACACCCCTGGCAACCATGTTCACATGTCCTTTGTTCTCCTGTTTCCCAGTTACTCTGTTCAAGCTGACTTCTCTTGTCTAAATACCTCACAGTAACATGCATTTGAGTGGTTACTGTTTAAGACCTGCTTCACATAACCGACAGCATCATTCAGGCCTCCAGTACCACAGCATAAAGTGCTAATAGCTTAAGAGACACAAAGAGTTACTCCCGTCATAGTAATCTAGCATCTTTCTGTACCCTTATTTTAATAACTTCCTTGACCACTCAGTCAATCTTCAGGACAGCTTAATGTGCTGTGTGTGGCTTTGAATTTTGATTAAAAAACTCTAAGGTAAATAGAGACACTTCCAAAGTCCCACAGATAAAAATACAAAATTAAAATTCTGCTCAAACAAAAGCATTTGCTATCCTAAAGATCTTTGTCACAGCCTGTTGACAGGAACAGTACTGTACTGCTTAGCAAGAACCCCCTGACACTGAATACTATGCTATATCTGAAATTCCAGAAAGGCTACATGCCATACAATTATCAGGTTTTCAAGGCAGCTAGTACACTAGCTTCACTAGCATTTATTTTACTCTTACAAAAGACAGAAATCCACCTTAGATCATCAAAGTTTAGAAAAATTGTTTGGTAGCTTTGAGGGTTTCCTTGCATCTCAGATATAAACACACATACACCAAAAATATATACATAATACTTCCGTGTCTACATGAGAATGCTGCAATGCAAACTGGATTCTTGAGAAAGAAACAAAAGGTAGTTAACTCCTGTATATATTATACCATCTTTAACATTTCCGTCAGTTTGTAAACAACCCATAGACTGGTTATCTCAGACTATCTGAGCTGTCTTTATGTTGCAGCTATCTCAGACTCCTTTAAAGTCTGGTGGTCTAAAATATCATGGCCTAAAGCTCCCCAGCTACGGCTGAACACTTTTCCACCTCTCCATTAAAGAAATCTTTCCAAATGACATCAGAATTATTGAACAGTTTGGCAGTGTTGGCTCACCCTAGACCATGTTGCCCAAGGCTCTGTCCAACCTGTCCATGAAAGCTGCCAGGGATGAAGCATTCACAACTTCCTTGGGCAACCTGTTTCAGTGCCTCACCTCCCTCACAGTAAAGAACTTCCTCTTCAAGCTGTATTGCATAAACTAAAAATGTCATTAAACACCTGTCTGAGCAGAGCAGTTCTTGTGGTTATAGAAGGGTTTATAAGAGCACTTTCAGAGGTGAAAATGTAGTGAGAGTTCTCCATTTTCTTTACAGCTGATTTATCACTGATGAGACAAGTACCATTCCCATCAACCCTCAAAATCACAGGAAAAGCGTTTTCCAACAGGACAAGTGCTCTGAAGAAATACTTAGCTTACAATCCACCAAATGAACACGAATGAATCAGAAACACAGCAAAAACTTCCATGTCAATTTAATAAATAAATAAATAAATCCTTTGTACATTTTCATGTTCTCTACATCCCTCTTTCAATACTGACAAAACATAAAGATTTACATAGATTGGTAAGATTTCTGTGTTTTCTATGACTAATTTTAAAATAGGAAAAGCTAAAGTGAAAAGGTATACCTGAGGAAAACCTTAAAAAGTAGATTTATGTGGGTCAGAAAAGCAGCCGGGTAGAGAATAGCAGAAAAGGCAAAATGTTTTCTTTCACAGAAAATAACCACAGTCCAGCAGAACCAAAAAAATAAAGTATTTTTTCGTTAAAGAATATTTTTTAGACATGTACACAAAAAAGTTTATATATATACAGAACAGAGCTGTTGGTAAGCACTTAAAAACCCTGTTTTTATAGCATTAGCAGTTTATGCCACTATGCCATCCAGCAAGTTTGCTGCCTCTGCATAGAATAAACATAGGACAGATTTTCCCAAACATCCTTTCTCTCAACATGCTCACGCTTGCTGTCTGCTTAAAAAGAAAACAAAAACAAACAATGGCACACACACAAAAAACAACAACAACAACAACAACAAAAAACCTAATCAAACAAGCAAAATCAGAGAGTCACAGAATCTAGAAAGGTTGGAAAAGGCCTTTTAGATCATCAGTTCCAACTATTACCCCAGGAAAAAAGCAGATATTTTCGTATTTGGTTTTAATGCCACATAATAAGAAATATTCAGTATACAAGTATTTCAAATCCTAGAAGATTCAAGATGCTAGATTTATGTCCCATAATATTTGGGTCATACTTGGACTCTGTAAAAGGTGAGGAAGAGAGAAAAAGTATCATGAAATAGTAAATTAGCATGAGGTGAGTGAGGTAAGCAGTATTTTGGACATTTTAACCACCAAAAACAGTAAGGCAATGTGTCACTACACAACTTTAAAATTCAAGGTGACAGTGACATTTCAAGGCAACCTCATACAAAAGATCTGTCAGTACCATATGAATATATTTGCTGTTATATAAAGATGTAGAGATCAGGGATTCTATTGATATCATTGAAAGAAAAATGGTATCTCTTTAAGAGAAAAGAAAAAAAGAAAGAAAAAAGGAACAAAATAATCCTGAAAGAACAACTTGTTTTCCAATTTGTGCCCATGTCCAAAACAAGATTTCAAAATATGACACACATGTACTGCTCTTCAACGCAAAAGGAACATGGCTTAAGTCAAATCTCCAGTTTTTTAAATTTATTTGCTCACAGGAAGTGCCTATGTTACAGACATGAACCAAGGCAGACTGAGCTAGCTATACGAAGGTTAAAGATTGCTTGTACTTTATAATGCTAAATACTCTGATTTGTCTTGCTCCTTTACTTCTCTTGCCCTAATCCACCCTGTTTCATTGGCTAAAAAAAAATTGGAAGACAGTTTAGCTAGCACATAAGAGCAATACTAGTGGGGCAGCAATAGCCACATCACCAATAATTCTATACAAAACTTCAAGATCCAAGAGTAGAAAGCTTGAAGACAACCCTGACTTCTGCCTATCTTAGTCTAACAACAATGCCTTCATGTTTATTTACCAAAATCATCACGACCTATCTGTAATAAACTATGTAGAAGAAACATAACTGGGTGAAAAGCATTTCAAATACACCATCAAAACACACAGATTAGGAAAAAAAAAAAAAAAAAAAAAACAGCACTATATCAATTTACATGACAAAAATTATTGTGGCAGAGTGAAGCAGCAACAGGTTTTACTCTAGATAAATGTTGTGCAGTGCTACTTTTGGGGCAGCTGAAGCAGGACAGATGTAACTGCACAGCTTTCAAGTCGCACACCCCACCACTTTAATCCAGCATAAATCAAGGCTGCTTCACAAGGAGCAGTCACGTTGCTAATGCTGCGCCATAGCTAGTGCTCGAGCAGCCACACCATAAACCCACTACATAAAAACTGCTCTGCCTAAAACTTAACTTTACCCAAAAAAGGGTGCTTTCCTGCAGAGATGAGATCAGATTCATGCTAGTCTGAAGAGACTGTGGAACCATTGCTGTAACAGAAAGGGAGGGAATTAAGTAAACTCTTAAAACAGAGTTTTCCCTAGTCAGGATGGAATTCCAATTCAGAAGTGAAGCATACAAACAGGTGAAATATGCAAGTTTACTTCAACATTACCTTTACCAAACTTTCTCTAAATCTGAAAATTAATAATTTGGAGGAAGGAAAGCATTACCTTTATAAAAACAAAACACACTCATTTTAAATTGGGTACAAAATAACTTCACAATTACGAGAAACATCCTAAATTAATGTTTTGTTTTTACAACACATGCTGCAGTGTGAACGACAGCTGGAATGCTAGGCTTTGCCTGGTTTCCTGGCATTTTTCTATTTCTGTCACAAATTCTATATAACATAAATAATAGTTCCTATTTAACTGTCTTAAAAGAAAAGCTTACTATAGCATGCTGTAATTTCAAAACACTAAACAAAGTAACAGGCTCAACCCAGGGACTAAAACACTGAATTTCAGAATTCAGGATTGATTTCTACTTCAATTATTATTTTCAAAGCAAGATTGGAGCTCAAGTTCTGCATATTCCACTAAGGAACTGGAAGGAGCGCATTTTAACTACTCCAGCAAGATTAACTCCCAAGAAGCTGAATGAAAAGAAATCCAACTCAAACTAAAGCAAGCAAAAACAAATAAAAAATCTAACAAACACTGTTATTTCAAAAGATACTCCAAATTCAAAGTAGTCTTACCTTGGACACGTTGCTGATAAAATCCAATTGACAAGTGTTCTCTTTATCTACTTGATTACAAAGATTCTGTAAAGTAGAGGCATATTCCTTATCACTTTTTACTCGCATAACCATAAATTTCTTCACTGTTTCCAGCAGTCGCAGCTCCCAATCTTGCAGTTTTAATAAAGCATCATGAGAGTACTTCAGGTCACCTCCAAACCCCATTTTTTAAGGCACTATATACCACACAGGGGAAAATACAGGCTCTTCACCACATCTGAAATCAGAACAAGATTCATGAGACACTATCAAAGACACTTCCAATGTGACAAAGAGAAACTATTAATGCCTAAACCCTGAAATAACTTATCTGCAGGATTAACCACATACATATACTTCTTAAAAAAAAACTGAAAGGAGAGTCAGTGTTTCAAACACCCACCTATGACTGGAAGAGATATCGGGCTGTTCTCCAGTTTCCTTCTGCAAAATGTACCTCTCTAACTTAAAGAGAAACTATGGGGGAACACATAAAAACATCTAAGACAGATACTAAGGACCAATCCACTTACTTAACCAAGTAAGTATAGCTGACAGTATTTCCACACAAGGACTGCCAACTACACTGCCAACACTCCTGGTGACCCAGAATGTTTGTTTCTGGTGTTTACTCTCCTCTGAGCACAGAAAAATTCAAATAAAACATCAGCTCTCAAGCAGCACATCTGTGGAAAATGGATAACTAGTTAGAAGCTAGCTTGCTCCTAAACATTAGCAGGCCATTAAACTTGCAGATTAGACCTCCCAAAAATCAGAAAATATCCCAAACAAGGCTCCCCATGTAATTGTCCATTGCTCCCCTGTGGAACACATTAGAGGGGAGACCTTCAGTTCATACAGTTTCCCCTAAGGCAGTCCAGTCTTACTGTACTAAATGAAAACCATTTGATAAACAGCTAAGAAATGCTGCCTTCTGAAATCCTATGACACAACTGCAGGTCAAAGTCATTTGTTTGAGCTAGCTCTAAAACACCTTCCTGTAATACTGATAAACATGCAGCCGCATCATAGAAGATCTGAAGGCACACAGTAATTTCCACAGACTTCCACAAGTTTTGTAATCCTGTTTTTTGATATACACCAAGAAACTGCTCCTACACTAAGCAGCTTCAAATTAGGTAAGATAAATTCACATTAAACTGCAATTACAGCTCTTGACTGCAGTGCAGACACAGCCTGCATACTCAGTCACAAATTCTTGCACCCCAGAAAAGTCCTGGCTCTTTTGGACACAGGAGTATCGTTTTTTTCATAGGCTTTTAAATTGCTACTTAAATCAGCAGAATGTATTTCAAATATTAACAGACTCATTTCCTAACAGCCCATGGGGTGGAGAATCTTATTTTATGCTGAGGACTGAGACACTTAAGCTAATGACAACACTGTACCAGCTAATACTGGAATGTACAAGGGTTTAAGAGCAGACTTTTCAGTGTCTAGTATTTTTAGCCTATCAAGTATCAAGAAAAAAGCAAGACGTTACTGGCTTCAGTTACCACCAAAAAATTCAGAAAATGTTGCAGATCAGAACCTGAAGACTGATTCCCAGGACCCACTTCTCTCTTCATGCAGTTCCCTGACTCCATTAGCTTTTCCCATGAGTTATGGAAATAAGCCTCGTCCACTGCGTATTTATTCTCAGAACACAAACCATACCATGTTGTTAAAGAAACAAAGATCTGATAAAATAGTAAGAATAGTACCATCTTATTATGTGTCTACACAAGCAAGACAAGTCAAGGTTGTATGAGTAACCTTAAATCTATCTTAAGCCTTCATATTCTCTTTAACTTGAAGCTGTATATTTTAGTTAGAATTCTTGCTGATGGCTAGGAGCTCAGTCATAAAGAACAACAACAAATAATTAAAAAGGGTGGACTATGTCATTATTAGTTGTATTAAGGATAATTTCCCAGTTGAAATTTAAGAAGTCTTGCAAAACTACCAATATTTTAGTAAGACAAGAAAAACAAAACATCTTAAAGCACCTACTTACTAACATGACTGAATCACAATTTGTGATTTTTTTTTTGACACTCTTTAGACAAATACTTACTTTTGTGATCAAGCTAATTTTTCTCTTAGCACATTTTAGCATATTACCTAAATATCCTTTAGCTATAAAAAAGATAGCACCTTCCTTTTCTTACACCCCATATTCAGAAAAGACAGGAACTGAATGTCAGGATGCAGTCTGGCCTTGTGCTATGAGTAAAGTGCCGACTTGCTTGCTTTTACTCTAACCTAGTGCAATGAGTAAAGTTTGTTTGTTTTCACTCTAACCTCTGTCTTTTACTGAGAGGTAGGAAGGCAAGAGCAAGAGGAAATATTCTCAGCATATGGTACTTCAGCCTGCTTCTACCGACTCACTTTGGAGCCATACAATTTCAAAAACCAATAGAAGATACAACATCTCACTCTAGCCTGTTTAGCCTCCCTTCACTAAGTAGTTATTAGATTTTTTTCTGATTGCACTATTAGATGACTGGGTACCTAGATAAATTTGTACAAATACTGGACTGTGGTCCTGGTTTTAAATTATTCCATTCACCATGGCAGAAGCAGCACAGTAAAAATTAGTTTTTCAAAACTATTAAGATTCTGATTCTGTTAGGCTAATGAGCATAAATAAAGTCTCAGAGCTGATGATTCCCAAATGGAATCTGATTCAAAGAAAGTAAGAATTTCTTTCTTTTTAGAATCACTATCAAAAGAACAAGCTAATCACTGACAGGAAATCACTCAATGTACATTTAACAACATACTGTGAATGAGCAAGCAGACCCTGAACAGCAATAAATGTAAGCATAGTTACTGAATACACCTTATAATTTGTCTTCACCACCACCACAGTGAGGCAGTCAGATTTCAAACAAAGTAATGTTAAGTTTCGTCAGTGTGACAGTAAGAAAATTCAACGAGCCACATAATTCCTCAATATTGTAGCACTTCCTTCAACAAATAAAGCCAATATTATAGCATTAGTAGTCTTCCTGAATTCCAGCAACATCTCTGAAGCAAGCAGTTTTCATAGCAAATCTACATTTAATTTAAAGATTGCAATCTGTTCATGATGCATGACGGTGGCCATACCATGACAGACCCTGTGTGTCTGACAATGGCTGAAATCATATGAGCAGGGAGCACATACATGGCAATACTTTTCCATGATGCTGTCCTACTTTCATAACAACTGGTGCTTTCTCTTATATACTGCCACGAAATATATCCAAGACTGTGACTGCAAGTCTTAAAATAATGATGGATCTACATGCATCAGTTGGAACTTGTGGTTTTACAATATCGATGGCAAGGTAAGCAACTGATAAACTACAGACAAGAAGCACACCTGACCCCCAATTAAACTCAGAACAGGAAAGCACAGAACACATCTGGCCCCTGCAGAGGGAGCAATATGGAATGGGCATGGTACACGGTATACCATACTCACTCTTATCTGCTGTCATCTCCCTTGATCCTAAATCTACATGGACTGCAAGTCACTTAGCATGGCTTATAGTTTGCCTCCTAGAAACATTAATAATACTGCAAAATTGGAAAATAAGAGGACTTGGATTCAGGTGACAAACCCCCAAATGCAAGGCTTCTGTAGTGATTTAAAAACAGTTTTATAATAGATGACCAATTTGTTAAGTCCAACTCAGTTTCTGAATGTCAGGCTTATGGTATTTATATTCTATTAAAACAGTGAAGTGACTCATTTTTAGGCCTCCGTCCACACCGTAAAAGAAAACTGAACTGTTAAATAATTGACATTTCTGTAAGTGTAGGATCTATTCCTGGAATGTTCAAGACCATGAAACACAAAACATATGATTTAACTACTAATTGTTTATACTAACCACACTTTCAGTGTTTTAATGTGAAATGCATGGAACATGAACCAGCAGAATTAATACTTCTTATGGAGCTACTGCCATCAATAAACAAAGTTGTACTCTAAAGCTAGCCTGATCATTTCAAAATTGTCTAAATATTAGTCCACTCAAGGTAAAATAGCCAGGTTATTTTCAGGAAGGCTTTTCTGCAAAAGACAGCTCACATACCTTAAAAAAATGTCCTCAAGAAATGATCCTTAGTGCACTTCTATGTCAGCAGCTACTTCTGATTTTCACTTTATGAAATATACTTCTATTTTCTGGGGACTCTGGGAAAGAAACAGAGATCAATCTTTTTCATTATTTCAGCATTTTAAAATAAATTTTGAAACTTAAGGTTACGTAAGTTGCTTTGCGTTTTCAGACCAGAAGTCAGATATAGATATTTATTTTTTTAAGATCATTCAAGAAAACCAAAAGAGCAGACTTCTTAAATGACTGCAAGCAGCAGTAGGCTATCACTTCATACACCCAGATCTGAGGGAAGAAATTATTTGGCCTCTGCACATGTAACCAAAGATTGCAGTTTTTTAAGTTCTTGGAATTTCTTACGACATAGTGTACTGTAGCCATAAAATTGAATAATTTCATTTATTTCTGAACTTTGTCCTTGACAAAACAAAAAGGAAGCCAGTTAATAAGGAAAATGAAAGCATGAAAGGACAAAATTCATCATATGAAAGACAAACTTAGTAGCAGTATTTTCACAGCACTGTAAGAAAACGAGCATCAACATTAAGAAACGGACCAATCAAGACACAGACATTTCTTATATGGCTCTAATTACTCCAATATCTGGAGCAGTAAGAGGTCAGGCTACTGTAGCACTAAAATTTCAAGTTGTAACTCTGAACTGCAATCTAGGTGAAGCAAACGGAAACAGAAGGCTGCATCTTTGAGGTTTTATATTGAAAAAAAGGATATAAAAAACAGGCTTTGCTATAGCTTACAAGTGTTACCTACATCTAGACCAATATTAAGTGTTCACTCACACTCTTATACCAGAATGTCTCATCTAAAGATTTAGCTTTAGATGAGACATTCAGTATTAGTTTAGCAATGCCTTTTTAAGAAAGGGCATATTGAGCAAAACTGAAAGACAGAGTGTGTAAGGATAAAGAAAACAAAATTATTTTCAAGATCACCACTATGTAAAACAAAGCTCTAATCATGGACACATTTACAAAATCTTATGAAGGGATAGCTTTATTTTATACTGAAGCAGCCATTATTTAGTATTCCCTTCTGGTTACTTAGTGACATTCTAGAAACAAACTGCTGCCTAATATAAATACGAAACTTCAGTGCTCCATGACCAAAAATAGAAAAGACTGTATGTGATGCTTACATGCAGCTACTGTAAAAAAACAGCAGCTATGCAAGCAGAAAAGAAAGAAAGGAGGGAAAAGAAATGCAGCAGGCTAGAAGCATTACAAAATCCACTACATTTTTAAGAATAGATAACAAAAAATACTTGTTGCAAAGCCCAAGAGAAAGTCTTCACCAGCAAAAAATTACAAGAAAGAGCGAAAACATTATAGTGAATTTGGCTTCAGTCCCCTCATCACACATACAAACCAGCTGGAAAAACCAGCATATCACTGGACAGGAGCACTAGTTTTAACCCCTTTCCTGGTTCAAACAGGACTCACGAAAGTAAAACACATACTACCACCAGCACCTGGCCACATTTAGATTTCAAGCAGATGTTAAAGCTCCACCTTTTGCTCTCTGCACACAGTCAAAAAGCCCTTTTCTTTTCTTTTCTTTTTTTTAAGAAAAAAAAAACTCCTTTATCACTTACAGTAGAATAGAGAATTGTTTGTCAATATAAAACTAAAATGCAAACCCAACTTATCTTTAGAATTCTAATTATTACTGACTTTTTATCTATGTGCATATTTTCATCTGCATACAGGTCATTAGTAGAATGTAAAACTGGTAATACAAGTCCAATACTGATCTAACTGATAGGTGTATACTAGCTAGTACACAGAGGTATAATAAAGGCTTGCCAGGGAGCTACACAGCCATCTGTAAGAGAGCAATAAAATGCTACAGGACTCCTGTTGCTGTTTCTGAGCTCAAGCACAGTAGAATTTTATAGTTACAAACAGCTTGCTACCTCAGTGAAATAAACCACTAGATAATGAAGATATAAAAGAAAGAATTAAAAGATGATAAGATAGAGCAGAAAACCTAGGATGATCTGTTGTTTTCTGAAATTACTGCTGAGACACTCAAAGACAATCCTACATCAGATCCCTTGTATACTGGGAATAGGTAAAGCATTCTCTCAAAATGAAGCATCAGAAGGGCATTTAAAAAACATCAAATTAATAGTAAGAATTCACCAGAGGCAGATCCTATTCAGCTGATGTGTTAAAGCATCATAAAATATGAAATTGCCAAACTATTAGTTCTGTAAAAATTCAGGCTTAAGGTGACCTAACTAAAGAGGAATGGAGAATGGAAAACATATCATTTTTTTTCAGTTTGACAAGGCAATCAGCAGAAGCACAACAAAGACAGTCTGACTTCATACCAGGCAAGGTAGTGAAAATCATACTGAAGAATTTGTAGACTGGAATAATAGGGAGAATAAAAATACACCACTGCTTTTGTAGGGAAAAATCATGCTTTGCAATTTGAAGAGCTCTTTGAAGTAATCAAGGATCCTGCGGGTAAAGGTGTTGAAATTAGTGGTGAACAAAAGATTTCTAAGAAGTTTCTGCTGATGTTTCTCACTGGAAGCTATTACAGAAGAAAAGACCTTGCAGGGTAAGACTTAGACAAAGACTCACAGGGGAGAGAGTCAGAAGCCTCACCAGAATCTAAGCCAGGTCTTGGACTGCTGTTCAGAATGGTCACCTGCATATCTGTCGTTTCACATATCATCTGTGCTTACATTTCCAAATTATACAAGATTATTATGAGCAATCCAAACTGACACATGATTAAAAAATTTACATAAGAACTCCAGAACACTGAGCAACAGCATATAAAACAGCAGATGAAGTCACATGTCTGTAAATGCAATGTAACACAGTGGGAGAAAGAACTGTAGGTTATTTAATGCCACTACCAGAAAAAGGCCTGGTAGTCCCTGAACATATACCTTCAAAAGTATTTGTTCAGTGCTTTGAAGTAGTCAGGTTAGGAACCATCCAGAATATCAGGGTTTTTTAAATGAAGGGAAAAGAGAACATAACATATTCTTATACTGCTGACACATTTGTGCTGTTCTAAACCTTCAAATTATTCTAGCTCATGAAGAATGCAAAGCATCAAAAATGGTATAGGCATCACTGCTCAGAATATGGAGCAACTTCTGCACAAAGAAAGTAAAGAGAATTTTTTAGCTCACAAAACAGATAAGTATGACAGGGTGTCAGATCAAAGCACCAAAAAAAAAAAAATGATGATAGCATGAAGTGACATGGTATGTCAGATCCCTGAAGTGTTTCCCAGAACACGGGGACAGCAAATGAAATTTTTAAAAGTTGCTCTTGAGTACTTCTTTGCCTAGTAAACAATTAAAGGAGAGAATTCAATGTCTAATGATACTTTTGACACCAAGAAACAAACAGGTTAAAAAATTACGATAGAAATTCATGAAAAAGGCCACAGATCTGTTTAACAGCAGAACTTCAATCTCAGGAAGTCTCTAAACTGCAAAAGCAGGACAGGACCTACTATTCTTCCTTTGTGCCAACATCCCTTCTTACCTGACTCAATCAAGTGAAGTCTGTTATCTCAATACTTGCTCACATACAAGCATCTTCACACAGTGTGCTCTCACTCTGTTATCCCTGCAGCTGCATGAAAAACAGCTTTCCCTAGCAGGTTTTGCAGCTGTGATCTTATTAAAAACACATGCAAATATGAAGGAATGAGCTCTGCCAAAGAACTGGATTTCACTTGTCAGTAATATCAAAAAAATACACACACAAACCAAAAGAAAAAATAAAACAAAACAAACAAAAACAAAAACAAAAAAACAAACCCCACAAATAAAAGAATGACAAGATACACTTCCTTTTTTGGATATAAAAAGTTTTCATTTACCTGTTGGAATTCTTTTCACATGTGCAAGTGGTAGTAATAGACACAATGAAAGTAAGTCACTAATAATCATGTAGGTATAAGGCTTACTATGTAAAGACCCTATCTAATACTTTCCTGTTCCACCAAAGTACCACCGAAAGATTTTTGTCAAGACACAGTCTTCTCAGGCTATCTGATTTAGCACTCCCTGCCCTTAGCATGAGGAAAAAAGTTTCTCAATGACCAAACCTAACCTTCCCCACTCGGTGACTGAGGAACAGAGAGGAATGACTAGTAACTTCTGTGCAATCTGAATATACCAGTTTTGGACTAAGCTATTTTGATACTTTCAGTTCTTCACTTTAAATCATTTTCTAGACCACTGCTGTCCTCTGAACACCCTCCAATGAGACACTATCTCACTTACAATTGAGAATCTAAAACAGTTGGGTACTGTACAACCCATCAATTCTGAGAAAACCAGAGAGATTACTTCAAATTACTTCTGAGCTCCTGCCCAAGTGCTTCAGTCTCTTGCAAACAGCATGATACTGTGTCCTACTTTGTGATCAAATAATTCCAGGTCCTTTCCCACAGAACTGCACCTTACCCTGTTTCTTCCACCATCACATACTCATGCAGTCCAGCCTATAGACTGTGTGTTGTTGCTTTTGTGCTAATGTCGTGCTCTCTTCCAAATGATGTCTCCCATCTGCGAAGATGATTCTGAACCATAATCTCATTCTCTACACCTACAGCTGTTCCCAACTCCCCATGGCCTGAAATCTTCCGCAACATACTCTATCATCTCGGGCTTCCTGTGAAAAATGTGCAATGGGAAGGGCTGCCATGTGGTAGTGAACCATGCAGTAAGTACTCTTCAGCTGCAGTCACTCCACCACTTTTGCTTCCATCCTGTAGAATTTTCTGCCTCAGAGTCACAGGTAAATAGCAACACAGATGCTGGAGACTGAATCTCACCAGGCAGAAAAGTACAAGAGGATGAGGGCCTGTAATTCTAATGTAAACCTAATCTACAGGTTAGGAAGAGCAGAGCTAGGCTGGCTGCCACAAGCCACACTCTGTCTGTGAGCCTCTGGACTCCATGTCGTGCTCTTGTTAACGCTGAAATTGGCAATGCCATGTACAAAATAACACACATACACCTTGCTTTCAAAGGGTAAATGCACCTAGTTTCTTGCTACCTCCTACATGCTTACAA